CTATAGATATTTACACAATCCTACTACATATTTTGCACTGTAAAGGAATAACTTTTTAGTCTAGATAATCGGGGAGCAATGTGATGTAGCATAGGGATGGTTTTAAAGTGCTTTAAAACTAAAAAAAAAAAACACACTCCTTTGTGTTTGTGCCAGATTTGAATATGTGACTTTTTCAGCTGTTCTATACTTAAACCAGAAGAGCTGCTTTATTATTCTAAAAATGAAAGAAAGAAGAAAAAAAAACAAGCTATTTATTTTGCTGTATTTTACTCACATGTATTTTTCCTCCTGAGGCCACTTGCTGTTCTTTGGCAGTGTGATTAGCTGTTAGTGGTACATGTGCAATAAAAGCTGTCAGTTATAAAGCTATTAAACTATTTATGTTTTCACAATCGTGTCGCTGAATCTAAATGATGCTCTTCGCTTACATCATGTCTCACTGCAGGATTCAACTTGTGAGTTTGTAAAGTAAATTTAACGGTAAAAGTCTTGGACACTAGCAGACAAACAGTAGGAGGTTTATTCAAAGAATTTAGTTAGAGCTATGAAAACATTGTGTTTAGTATCTGGAATTGACAGAAAAGGTTGAATAAGATAAATCAGGGACGGCTTAAAAATTCACCTGAATTACATTTTTACATCCATCTGCCTTGTGGCCCTGCATGGACAACCTCTGCAACATCATTATCGCCAAGTGTTAATAATGAAACAGGTCAAAGATCATCTCCGCTGATTAATTTATTCTAACTAAATAATGGCTGGGTTAATTTGATGAATTGTAATAGAATAGTAATCATGTGCAGCATCAGGTGAAGCCGTCTCTAATATTGTGCAGCCAGCACCTCTGAATTCCAGCAGTTCATGCCAAAAGCATCTTAAGGTTGAGCTGAAGCCAGGCCTCGGCTATTTTAACACATCCTAATTAACCCCAGTTGTCTGAACCTGATAAAGGAGGAACTAGTAATTAAAGCTGCTCAAATGGAAAATGTATGCATAGCAAAATAGCAGCTGCTGAAGTTTAACAGACTGACTCGACTGAATGAGTTTAAAGATTTCCTATTTAAACGTGACATTCCCATAACTTGCAGCATAAACTTTTGATTAAACCTGAAGAGAATGTAAAGATGGTTCACTTCAGAGGAACATCGACGGGTCTGCAGGTACTGCATCACGGTGAACACCTCCTCCTTCACACTTCAGTCCACTTTACACTTGTGATTACTTACTTGCCTGATTACATTAGTTGATTAGGAGGATGCACTTCAAACAAAGAAACAAACAAACAAACCAAAATTGGGAACACAATTGAAAACTGTCTATACAAAAGTGTCCTAATACAAAAGAATACCAATTCTCTGTTACAAATAGAAGTCTTGCATTTAAACATTTACTTACGTTTAAGTACAAAAGTATTACCATTTAAATATACTGAGCGGTAAAAGTACTCATTATGCAGAGCTGAATATTTCAGAATAATGTGTATCAGTGGATAATAATTAAATGAGCATCTGTGTGTTCATCACTTTAATGATAAGGCTATTAAAGATGGTTAAACCACTTTATCCCTGTTGGGTCGCTTGTGATTTTCTGCATCAGTACAGTTTGATTTTACATTCTGTTTTATTTGTTGATCATATTTTGTATTACTAAACAAACTCTGCAAAGTAACTAGTAACTGAGTAAAAAGTTTTGCCTCTGATTTATTGTGGAGCTGTTTATATCATAGGAATACTGATGTTGCAACCTGTCCAGGGTGTCCCCTGCCTTCGCCCTAAGTCATCTGGGATAGGCTCCAGCCCCCCATGACCCTAGTGAGGATTAAGCGGTGTATAGATTATGGATGGAATACTGATGTTTTGAAAGTATTTATTCACAACTCATGCATGATTACACTGAGCCCCAGTAAAATATTACTCCGTCCAACTTACCACAAAAAAGGTGTTTTCTCACTAATCACGCTTGGCTGGTTGTCCAAGGTGAAATGGGGGCTATCCATGAATACGTTACATGTTATTTACACTCTAATGGCACTATCAAAATTCATGACCTTGAGTTGACCTTGAATTACCACCCAAGGTCAAATGTTACATCCCCATAGGAAGACTATATATGGTTTCTTGTGTCTATCTTGTACTGTTTTCAAGTTGCAGTGCAGTCAAGATTTATGGCCTTGAGTTTGACCTTGAAATATCATCCAAGGTCAAATTACATCGCCCCAACATGGTTGCTTATCTGCACCTTAAATCCACCTTCAACCCTTTTGAAGGTATGCAGCAGTTTTGAAAATTTGACCTTTGACTTTTGATTGACCCAAAAATCTAATCAGTCCCAGGAGAGGCCATTCCTAGCTGCTCACCTGTAAAATATCTACTTGTTAGACTCGTAAACTAACAGTTTCAAACGCTGACTGAGCCTTGTGCACAGAGCCACACTTCATTCTTCACCACAAAGACACTTAATCAAAATCATTCATTGCAAGCTCATGGATGCTCTCCGTAGCGGCTCGTCTTTCCCCGTTAGGCTTCATTTCCATTCTGTTTCTGGGCCATGCAGTAATTTGCATAATACATGACCACGTTAAGGATCTAATCAATATTCTTGATTTAGCTGAGGGATACAGTAGTATTTTTATTTTAACTCCACACTATCCTCTTCCTGCTGCCGGCCTGCCGTCATGATGAATATTCAGGTTTCACATTATGCTAATTCAGATCTGCTCAGCTTGAAGAAGAGAAACCCTGGAATTAGTTGGATAAGTAACAAAAGTTTGTTTTGAAAATGGATGAAGCCATAACAATATTGTATTTGTGTGATAATCTTTGGGATTTATGTTGTTTTGGTGTA